ATTCAAGAACATTCTAAATTATGATGCACTTACATAAATATATCAATATATAAATGCATTATATATGAATGCTGTAAAATAAGAATATTCAACTATTACTTTAACATTTAAAGGATCAAGTACATTTGATTGTATGAAGTCAAGAGTATGTCGAGCTTTAGCGTTGTTCTGAAAAAATAGTTTGGTCATATTGTCTCTTAAACAGTATTCACAAGTTGAGAAATATTCTAATTTTTTAGAAAATTCAAAGAACCATTCTTTATCAACTTATTGGTCTTATCAATATTAACATGACCTAACATTGTATGCCAAAGATAAGTTAGATTTCCTTGTTTCGATCTATATTTAAGAGATTTATCAATTTCAATAACATTATATAAGAGTTAAGGATGATAATTATAAAATATAAACGGTTTCAATTTTATAATTGTCAACAAAGTAATTTTTGAACTTTTAATAGAAATTTTATTTTACAATAAAACAAAAAATCACTACTATAAAGTTTAGAAAACAGAAATCAATTTTATTCTAATTTAGTAAATATTAAGACGATCTTTAAGTTTCATTTCATGCACTTTACTCAAATCCAGAAATGACTTTGTCATTTACAATGTTGAAACTAGGACTTTTATTTCTATTGTCAAAGTTAATATTTCTATATTTAAATTTATGCGTTTGTTATACTCTTACAACAATTTGTAAGAATGTGAAGATAAACTAGAATCAATACATCATATATAAGAAAACACTCATATCATTAGTCTTTACTAAATAATGGAGTAATCTATCTTCAAAAGATATTTCCCTCTTAAATGATGTAATGCAACCTTTACAATTTCTTTTTCTAATGACTTTCATTATTTAGATTTCCCTTTATGTTTAGAAACTTATTTTCCTCTTTCAGATTTCTCTCTTAAAAAACATGTTTTTCTTAAAAAAATAGATAATTCAATTCGATATCCATCACTATGGTTTGCTTTGCTTCATAATAATCTTTTCCCTCTTTTAACAAATTATCCAGTTCTAATAAAGTGATAGATACATCTTGAATTTTACAATATTCACTTTAAACTGAACTAGGGATGAAGATTTGGAAGTAAAATCACATCAATATTTAATTTCGATTTTAGCTTTCAACAAATCTAATTTGTTAATATATATCAAAACATATTATGAAAATATATATGTGTTCATATAACGAACACTACTTTTATCATTATTATCTTTAAGCAAGATTATGACTAATGATTTTTATCATCAGTTATATTTGGTTTAGCGGGCATGTCACCTAAGACAATTATAGGCCGGATTTTCATCATTAAGAAATTAAATAGCTTTCCTTTTCAATCCAATAGTTTGGGCTATTCAATTTATAATCATTCAATACATATTAAAATGATAAAATTTAGTCATCATGTATAAGCAGAATATAATAACACATATATCTCAAATTATTATTTTATTGTTGCACAATCATTACTAGGGATATTTTAAGTAATGACTTCACATTTAACATTTCTCTCATTTATTTAAATATGAACAAGAAATCCAACTATATTTATACCCTTCTAGGTTGTCAAGATAGAATATAAATAAACAATGTAGAATCATCTATTCAATCATTACCAATTAATGACTTTCCTTTAATTTTGGTCTTTAATGTAAGAGTCAACTCCATCATTGTAGCGAGCACCCAAGACATTAATGAAGTGTGCACCCACTAATTCAATCATTTTATGTAAAACATGTTGCACCTCCTATTGTAGCCAAGTGATCCTATTATACATAAAATATTTAGCATTCTTATGTGAAATATAACTAGATAATAAATTTTAACAAAACTTAGCATGTCTAGCTTCAGATAAGTTAAGGCTATTATCTGAATTATATCCCTACGGTGGAAAACCTTTAGATTCGTATTTCATTAAATAATGATTTATCTACACTTCTATATAGTTTTTGTTACTTATCATAATTCAAAGAACACAATAAATTTGTGAATTCTATAAACAACCAATTTCTGCAACTGTTAGGGACTAATTAGAAATTAGTTTATATATTCAGATGGACCTTAAAACAGTTTCAAAATCAATCAGGGGGTTGAAGCTTATTTAACAGCAAATTTAATAAATTGGTGAGCTCTAGAACAATTTCTGGATCAAACAAGGATCTGTAACTTATTTTACAGTAATTTATCAATACTGGCGTACTTCAGAATAGTTTCTAGATCAATTAGTGGTTTGATAATAATTTTACAGTAAGATTCAAAATATCAGGGTTTCGGGCTCGAGTTCGGTTTGCAGGTCAAACCCGTTTTATAAAATTTAAGTTCAGTTCAAATTTAAACCGGGGTCGGGTTTGCAGCGGGTTCGGGTTAAACCCGATACAATATATCCTATTCATAATAGGATTTGAGATCTATTCTTAATGGATTTGGGTTCAAAACCCAGTAGACTTCTAACCCAAAACTTTATCTTTTCAACCCCATAAACTAGGGCTTGTGTCTAGGTTTTTGCTAGAGTTGCGGGTGCGGCCAGTGGCCAGCGTAATTTTTTTTATAAAATAATCTTCTTGAAGTTAAACCCATCATGGATCATCACATGAACCCAATTTTGATCTCTTATCAAAACATGAACTCATCATGAATTATCACAAAGGATTAAGATTAAATCTCTGATAGTAAAAAACTTTAATGTGATTTTATCAAACTCAAAATTCATGATCTAATGAAAACCCTAATTATAATCTTAACAAGAATCCTAATTGATTTCAATCAAAATAATTATTTTCTTGCTTAACAAAATTAAATGATGAAGAGTATAAAGCATTGGCGAATAGTAATCGCGGCAGAGAATAGTAACCCCTGCTGTTGAACAGTACCACGATGTGAATAGTAAACCGATTTGAACAGAAAACCGTTGTGAACAATAATATCATTTTTATCAAATAAAATTTTAAACAGTAAACCCCATATAATCAAAATATATTGTTCGATAATTTAATCTAACAAACCAAAAATTATGATCAAACCATAATAGCTTAATCTAATTAAACATCAAAGATCAAATTCTAAACCTGCTTTCATACCATCTGTTGGAAACATAACATACAACGAGGCGGAATATGCATGTCATGACTATTAATAAAAATTAATCAAATATTAAAAGAATACCTGAAACGCTTTTCGAATTTCTTCAATAATTTGTTTGAATATCAATCCGAATAGTTTCCTCAGGAGAAAAAGCCTCCAATTAAAATCCACCCGTCACCGAAGAGGAGCAATACTGAGAGATAAGTTCTCAAATTTTTATCTCTCTTCTGTTACTTTGCGCCCCTCATAAGGCTACATATGAACCCTATATATAAGATTAGACTTGTCTTATATATTTTAATTTCAAACAATTACTAACTGTTCAAAATTTTTTTCATAACAATTAAAGATAGAATGTTCTTTCCATAACAATTAACAATAGAACATTGTTTCCATGATAATTAAGGATAGACATAGAATTGTATTGCATGTATACCTCTTCTAATGATATTAGTGAGACAAATTGGGTCTCATATCGAAAACCAATTATTAATCAAATTAATAATTTTAATTTAATAGTCAAATCTTTCTCCGACCAACTGTTCATAAAAACTCTTCCATAATATGAGATTAATTATTTTTAAATAATAAATTACATTAATTCCCTTCCATTATTATTTATTTTAGGCAACTCTTTTGAGCAGGATAATTCACCTATTTGCTCATGCTTAAATTTTAATTTTCATGAACATAAATAAAAATCATTTTGAAACATAAGAATATTTTATTTTTATAAAAAAATAAATTTAAAAAAATATTTTTTAAAACCACCCGCTAGTGGAAATTTTATAACTTCATGGGAATGCATAATAAATTAACTTATCATAATGAGCATACTAGATCTTATCTAGATATCCATCATTTTCCTAAATAAAATATAGTAAACCAACGTTTCAGGTTGTGTAGCACTTGCTAAACAAGCTTAACCATCACATCAAAATATACTAAAATATCAAATCAGAAATGACAATTTCATCAAGTTAAAGGGGCCATGTAATAATTTGAATTCTCCATCTCCTAGGTGACTTGTCCTAGAAAATTCAAATACGGTCTAGTGCTACACACATCATAATGTGTGCTTATAACATACATCCGGGATATCCTCATTCCCGGTGGTTGAGACCTACTACCAAATTTCACATGTCGGTATCATGCATAATAACATGCTATAACTAATTATCCTTTAGTAGTTATAGGTTAAGCACGAGTTTAAGAAATCTCTAAGTTAGATCGCATCTCCAAGCGGCACATCACGGTGCATGATCTAACAAAAACAATTTCCAAGATACTATAACAATTATAGAATTGATACCCAAATTATATGTGCAACAATAAAATCTTTAATAATATTCAAAAATATTGTATAAAATATATTGGATGTTTAAGGACATTATTACTATTCCAGCATCTATGTGGACGGGAGGTAGACTCAACCAAACATGGATTAACTCGGTTAAGTAACATGTTGCCTTCTATTAATTTAACAGAAGAGATAGTCCTTAGAAGAGATATCAATAGATAAAAGGGATTCATGTCGCCCAACTCGGAAGAGTTGAATAGGTGTTTCTTTTGTCGTTGTTCTTCTTCCACTTGGTATAATCCTTTTGATGCTCCACATAGTGATTTAGTCTGAATGCCTAGGCGTTAAAGAGTCACCTTAGGGCCTCATCCAACACACACGCACACCCATCCACCCACCCATGCTCAAATCCGCATATGCTTGCACATACAGAATTTTCTCCCTCCACACCACCCTCCCCCCGGGCCCCTAACAAAAAAAGAGGAAACCGCGTAGCCTTTCGAATTTTCTACTAACTTATTTAGGCTTTTTACTTGTCCTAAACCATACTACTACGTATTCGTATGTTCTCATCTGTGTCCTAAAGTAACTATGTGATGTTATTTACAGCTCGATCCAGTAGTGAACCTCACACACCAGATGAAGACCCTGGCATCCCGACAGGAATACTAAGGTGGATTATGGACAGTACGAAAGGGAAAATAATGGAATTCTTTGGCATGATTTCAAAGCTTGTGAATGATATATTTCCTCCACATTATGAGGACAAGGAACCTAAGCCTTTTGATAATGTTGTGAAATCGTCATTTATGCTCTCTGTTGCGGTCTTCATTATCGTAGTGATGACTCGTATCCAGAAAGGTTAGCAAAAAATTGTCGACATGACACTTTGTAGTTACTGTTCTAGTTTGTTTGTTTATGTTCCTGAAACTGAAGCTTTATGCTGGATTACAATATCTAAATAACAGCAAATTTGAATATTCTGTACATATGAAGAAAGATGACTGTTTCTTTTTTGGGGCATCAATTACTGTTAGCTTCTTCTCACGCGCATTTCAATTTTGCTCATATTGTTAGGAGAATATTTGCGCATACGTTTACTGCATGGAAATTTCCGAAAACGTTGGATACTCTTATTCCTTTTTAGATTTTGCATGCAGATGCTATGACAAATGACCGAGAAGCCTTGTTCTCACGAAGTTTCACTTCATCTTGGTTGTTTCCACGTATTTTTTTTCTATACACAGTGTTACTACTTTTAGCTTATAAAATTCTTTTCAACTTTTTTTATT